TTCTTTACATACCGTTTTCCCAAGTTTGAGAATGAGTTTTTCAGCATTGATGTGATCCATAAAGTTAGGATGACATTTTCGTCTGCGATAATCTTCATCAGTAAAAGGAATCTCAAGATCTCCCTATGAAAGAAAAAAAATGTGACTATTATACTTGTCTTAAAACAACAATTTTTAAAAGCCTGAATGGTTAAAATAAGTTCATTAAAATATTTTAAAAATCTGGTTTAACTTCGTTTTAACTTTTAATTCTTAAAACTTCTGATTGTGATACTTGAGGTTCAACATTTTGAAAATGTCGATAGTTCAATTTCAATTTTCGCAGCAAAGGATTTTTTAGCTACTTTTTGTATTTAAAAAACTGTGAACTTTTATTATATATAACACCATACAAACTTGAAAAACTCTGACAACTGCTACAGATAACATTAATGTACACGATTTCTGTCAGACTAAACATGAGAATTGCAATAACATACTACAAAGCATCCCACATGGTTCCTGACAATACTTGACATATATAAAGATATATCTATTTATCTGTCTATACACAGACTTAAATATGTATTTCATTAAATATGTAGTAAATATGGGATTTTTTATGATTGAAGGACAGTACATATTGTGGTTAGCATATGTCATACATCTTCTCCAAGCAGACCCTAATGTCTGCCTATGTCAACGTAGCCCAGTGCCTGAGCTTCTCTGTCCAGTCACATAAACTTAACAATTTTGGCAGTAAGTAGTGGTTCAGGGTGAAAGGATCATGAGAAAAAGCACAATTGCTGATGCTAACTTTATTAGCTATTGTTGAAGTACATACTGAAATACTTTGTTTAATTGCACTTAATGAATATTTTCCATTACATGGAAATAGTAAAAAAAAAAAAAAAAATGTTTTCAGATTACTTACGGGGTCAGGGGGTTTGCTTTTTGCCCAGCTCATTATTGTTGAAATAAGGATGAATAACTTTGGTGTTGCAAAATGCTCTATTTCCATATGTAGGGCTGTTAAATGAAAACAAAGGATTTAATTTATTGTAAACTGCATTACTCAAACCTGTATTCTTGCTTTTATATAAAGGTCCTGTATAGACATCTATACCATAACATTCTAAGTGATATGTATTTTTAAGCAAATACTCTTTATTTGGGTTGGTATAAAATAAAGATAATCAATCAGGAAAGGAAACAAATAGATAAATAATGGTAATAAAGAATCAAATTATTGAGAGTCAACACAATCTCCATAGAGCTACATAACATAGGGAAAAAAAAAAGAAACTATACTAGGAAATGACTCATCTTTATTGACTGCTGAGATACTGAAAGAAAATTAAAATGTGGTTTTTTCCATGATCGAAACAGAAAAACTACAGAATTCAAGTAAAGCTTCCTTATTTTAACTTAGAGCAAAATAGTTAAATGTGGGTTATGTTTTGTTGAGTCCTCCAAAACTTATGATGTTATCCAAGTATTTACAGTATAAACAGGAAAGCAAAATTTAGTTTTACTATTACATAAAGAACAATATTGCACTGTCACCATAAAGATTCCAGATGCCCATTAGAATTTGGATATAAGAATCAGGAGAAAGTTTCAGAAAGACTGTTAGCAGTATGTTTTTATTGGACTTCTAAGTCAAAATATATTTAAAATAGTTACATAAAATATTGAAACATTATTTGAATATCATGGGAGCAATTTTTCTACTCATCTCCCAATGCAAATAGATAAAATGATGGTCGATAGCTATTTAGGGAAATAACTGCCTACACAGATATGTCATTTAAAGTGTTGGACCATTTCACGACAGCTTTTCCAGCTTATGAATGCTAGAGTACATTCCGTGGTCCCTTGCTAATTAATTGAACAATTCATGCAGCATTTCTCCATCTAGGAACCCACCTGTATATTACAGTAAACTATAAATCCCAGATAATTTCATTATGGTAAATTTTGATGGCTGTATAGCAAACAATTTTCTCTTCAGATGATAGCTATACTAACCAGAAGCAGCCCATGTTGCTTCCTCAATTTGATTTGCATCCTCGGTGATATTATATGAAACAATCTCACACTCAAGCAAGTGACTTAAGAGCTCTTTTCGAGATGAGACCTGGGGAAAGAAATAGTTACAATCTGCCATTAAAAAAAAAAAAAAAAAAAAAAAAAAAAGACGGGAAAAAATTCCCAAATTCCTTTTCTTGGCAAGTTTAACTTACTGATAGAATGTATTTTTCTAACACTAGGATGTTAGGATGTTCATAAGAGAGATATCTAACTTCATCTGTCAGACACAACTAAGGTGATGAAATGTGAATTAAATGCTGAAACTTCTAATTTACAGCCGACATTAATATAGTTCAAAAAGATGCACAATTTTTAGTGGTATTTTAGGATTCATATTTTCAGTGCAATCGTGAGTAAAAAAAATATCTATGACTTTTATAGATATTTTAAACAAATATCAACTGGCAGAATGGAGAAAACATAAAAAAAGTCTATTTCCTTGCAAAATAACATCCTACCATTTTTATTAAATGCAGATTGTCTGCATCACTTCAGCAAGTCCAACAAGTACTTTGGCCAAGACCAGTGATTAAGATTAAATACTGCCAGCCATAATTTTCTGATTGAACAGCTCAGCTGTATAGACGTTTAAAGCAAAATTTTCAAATGTTTGAAGAGTTTCTGGATAATCAATTTAAGACAGTTAGAGAAAATTTTAGTTTCAGAAAACTAAATCAAGCAATAAGCAATCACATTCTTAAAAGCAAGACTCCTTTAGTTAACTAAACTCTGGACACATGTTTATACAAAGATGTAGGTATTCAGAACAATGAGTTATGATTAATGAAAGCTGTGATTTCAGCAAACAGTTAAGAATGGGGACACTAAGTCTGATTCCAGCACCACTACCTTTAAAATGGTGATAAAAAACAGAAGAGACAAGAGAGGTACTTGAGGTGTGTGTTTTGAGGGATACAAGAAAGCAGAGCTGTGGATCATCAGTATAGATGATGTCCTGTCAATAAATATTATTGTAAAAAATCTATTTTGAGTCCAAGTTCCTTCCTTTTACTATTTGCTGTATCAGACCTAGCAGGGAGGAGACAACAGTGTGCAGGAAGCAGAAGGAAAAAAAAAAAAAAGTATACAGCTTCCAGCAGCAACAAAAGACTGTTTTATTAATGCAGGTCATTTTACATGACTTGCAATATTTCTAATGTTGTCTACTGGCGACCTGAAACAAGACTCTTACTTACTGCATACGTTTCCTCTGCAAAATGTGGTTTAGTACTCTCTGGTTTAGAAAGGGTACCCACTACTTGGTAGACTCCCTCCTTTGGCCTACTAGAAACTTCAGCAGCTGAATTATTTTCATCTTCCTCCTCCTCTTCTTCTCCTATGCTTTCAAGCGATGCCCCAACAACACATCTGGATAAATACTGCAATATACAAGACACACATTTGTATACAAATATATATTTGATCCTACACAGCTTCTCATGGTCTTGGGAGGACACCAACACCCAGTTGACTAGCCCCCATCCTGTTGCAGGTAATGTAGGTCAGAAGACAGCTTTCCATTGAACAGGAAAACATTATGCGCTCCTCAGCCTCAGCCGTAATGTTTTGTCCTGACTTGTGTCCTACGCCTCAAAGTCGAGGGTGCTGGGAGTCCCTAGATGACCGCGACCTGGCTCGTTAGGTAAGAGGTGTTACCTGAGGGAGGTGTTACCTCAGAGAGCCGTTACCTCTCTCCACAGCGATCAGCTGCCGCCTGAGGTGTCCCGACCTGCTTTATCCACATCTCCTGCTCCTAACTCTCATTTTTTTCTCACTCCTTTCTTAACCCCTTCTTGCGCCCGGTCCCTCTCCTCAGCAGCGATTGTAGGTGACCCCAGCTCCCCGGCTGCCTTCCCGCCCGGCCGAACGCCCTGG